CTGGATATATTGACTTTCAATATTTCATTGGAACTGGTCATTTCTATTGTTTGCATCGTGGAGTTCAGAGAGCATAGATTCTTCCAAAAGCAGTTTATACTAGCATGACAGTGTAATCCCAGGAACACTTATGTCGTTGCACAGATTAAGAGAGAGGCAAGAGGGTCATGGTAGTAGATCATCACCCAGAGTCACTCAAGTCCTTCACAATGTGTTGGCTTCTCTGCGCCGCTCACTGCCCAGGAGGGGCTGGAGGAAAGGCCCTCATCAAGCATGTTCTGGTATGGTAACTCTTCTGTTAAATGTTTATGGCAACTGTTTCTAGCATACGTTTTTTGGCTTGCTGTTTAACTGCTTATTCATTTACCTAATTTATTCTTGGCTATGTACTACATAATTGAATTTAAAATCTATGTTGCAAATTCCTGAAATATTGTGTTTTTTGATACTTTACAATGGTATATTGTTTGATAAATAATGAATAAGCCCTATTATATGCAGTAGGAAATATAGGGTGCCAATAGTTTTATCTGACTATTTTCTGTTATGTCTACAAGCAAGTTGTCACTGCACCAGAATCAGCCTCCATTGTTGCCCAATGGTGAGAGCAGATCACACCCAGTATTTTCCTACTTTATTGTTCTAAATGGAAAGCTCAGACCCACTTGCTGGAATATATTCAAGTTAACTGGCTGATTTTCCGTACGATGAGTACTGTTGATCAGTTCCTCAAAAGATCAGAAATGGCCACTTATGTTCAGAGTTGGTTGCATTCTTGCTATTATCAGGTCCTTTATGGCCATTTAAATTTTAAAGAAAAAACAAAAAAACTCTTAACTCAAAAGGAAACTCGCAAAGAGCGTTTGTAACTGAAAGCACAATGATGATTTAAGTCAAACTTGAGTATTTTTTCAGAAATGCAGAGAGTAGATGCAAGACTGTAGATCTATACAGATTCAATAATTGCTATTTGAGGGAATGATTTCTAGGTAAATTGCTTAGACAATGGTGTTTATAAAATTGAGTAGACAACTCTGGTTGACCTTTTCCCGGGTGCTAATCCATCTCCGCACAACTGGTTATTTGGGCAGTCTGTTTTGTAAACTGTTATAGTAGAAATGTTTTGTTTTTTTTACAATTGTAGCTCTACTCTCATTGGAGCACATGGACAGTAATCCTGCGACTCCTAAGTTACTTTCCCCTCAGTCAGGCACATAGGCTCATTAACACATTTCTCCAATAATCAGCCCAGGGGTCTTGTTTTTGTTTTTACTTTTGGAGAACTTGGAGAGTTATGAGGGAGATTTGTGGGATACTAGAAAAATAGGAACTATGTACACTTGAGGTCTTTATCTAATCTTCAGAGCTGTCAGAGTCTGTGCTTGAATCAAACAGTGGACTTCAGCTTTAAAGCCATAGTAAAAAGAAGAGTAGCAGTAACTTATTTAGCGTCCCAGAGCAGTGTTCCTTTTAAAAGTAGGCCAGGTGGACAAAGCTATTCGGAACACTGGTCAATGTTCCCTTTACTAGACCCTCAGCTGACTTCCTAGCACCAAAGGGGGTTAAACAGCACAGCCTCTAAGATCCTTTAGGGATCTCTGTATTCATAGGGCCCAAGAGCAGCTGGATCCTTTCCCTTGTGATACCAGACCATATCTTCAGTAGACAGCCCCTCAGTCATCATAGTAGAACCCGGGTCTCAGCATTCATGCCCTTAGGTCATCTACCTGAGGCCACATGGCAGTAGCTGCTGGGAGGGCAACTCCCAGGCTGGATCAATCTTGGACAGGGAAGAACCCAGAGCCCTGTGTGTCCATTGAATATATACAGTTACCCAGCATGCCTTAGAGCCCCTTTCTCTGGGGTAGGCTGAGTCCGTATCAATATTCATGCTGCCATCTACATTATTCCACACCTTTCATCCAGAAACTTTTAAAGTTTCCTGCATACAGAGGAAGCTAGGCATACTATCAACAGCTGAGCACACAGATCAAAAACACAACTAATTATGTCTTTCTAACCCTAGCACCTACCTAGGAGTGTGCTAACCAATAAACCTCTAAAAAGGGTTGCTTTCACCCGAACTATATATTCTGCTGTTTTGAAAATAACATGTTAAATGAAATTAATTTCAATATATTTAAAGAATATACAGATGATGTGATTTACAATTTCATTCTACTTGCATACATGTATGACAAGTCTATTGGAGCTTATAATAATAATTACATCTACAATATTGGACAATAATCAATAGAAGATTTATACTCTACATTTGCATATACATATAATGCAAAGATTCTACAGTGTACCCAAAACGAAGATCTTGCAAAAATATAAAAATTTTAATTTGACACCCTGTTGAATAGAATGGAGGGAGGTCCGACCTATCCGGGACCTAAGAACCCCCTTCATCAGTTACAATCTGCCAACAGGGTGATGTAACTCCTTGATGATAAAGTTTTTCTCTCATTGTGCTTGAACTACCTTCCCACTCACTTGTATGAAGAATGTAAACAATAAGGGATTATTTTTTTGCAATGAGGACACAGATTCAGTGCAAGAGTGTATTGTTAGACTAACAGGAGATTTTTTTAAGTCTGCAGTTAAATCTATATTCATTGACTCCTTTAAGAGGTTGCCTAGTTTAAGGATATACTAATTGGGTATTATTATACTCATAAAAAAAAATCTCCAATTATACAGTAAGTCATCCCTAGTGTACTAAAATTATAAATGCACATTTTTAGGCTGAAAAAAATGTGTGAATGGGTTATGCAACAACATGACCCTTTTTTATGCACTCTGAGTTCAACATCTTCTAAGTGTCCTCTTAGCTGAAGGGAATAGTAGACCTTTAATAATAATGGAGGGTAAGCTTCCTGCCTCTCCAAGTCACCCCCACTCACCAAACAAAATGAGCTGCCGAAAATATTTTTGAAAATAAGGATTTCACAAATAAGAGGTAAGATATACCTCGGTCCTTACATCTGATGCTTTTGGGAGGAATAGGAGAGGTTGTTGATCCTCACAGCCACCTCTTAGGATAGCTGGGAACCCAAAATCCATGAATAGGTGCCCCAGCTAATTACAGGACTGCATTCTCCTGGGACTTTGAGGGCCCAAGATGCAGCATTGGAGATCAGTGACATAACCTATACCTTCAGGTAGATCCTGGAGGGTTGAACCACCTGTTAGTTTCCTATATACTGTATCTTGAGAACTTTATTGGTAAAACATTTATGCTCTGGGTCTGCACATCTGTTGTGGCCATTATCAGATGATTCCTACTTTTCTCTGTATTTTTATTTTTTCATATTATAAGGAATACAACAGGAGTATCTGTAAAATGCAAAGGTAGAAAGGAACAGTAGCAGACATTATGGTAGGGAGATCTCACTGATTTTCTAAGACATATACAAAGTCTGGTTCTGATTCAGCCTACCACACATCACTTATAACTTTTTGTTACATGAACCATATCACATGATAGAATTTCATATAATTTGGGTTGATAATATAAACAGAAGAACGGTGTAAACCAGTGGTGGTAGTTAACTTGAAAATTATAGAGCGCTTTATGTGCAGGTCCCAGACCCTACCTACAATAGTAGCTCGTTCTCATGCGTTGAATTAAATTGCATCAAGTTCGGCAACTCTTTTAAAATGAATGAACTGTCACACACCCCAACACACCATAATTTTGGTCCTGCAATATTTTCTATACACTCTGAAGAGAAAGTGAGCTAAAATAAGCACCAACATTGGTAGCATAGTTAGCTAGGTTGAAAAAGACATAAAATTCAACTAATCGAGAAAAAAAGAAAGATAGATAACCTCTATATACTCTATGTTCTACCCATAGCTGATTCAATGGAAGGCAAAAATAAAACAAGCAAAGCATGATCCAGTTTGCTCCAGTGGGCAAAAACTGTTTCTGATTTTCCAGGAGGCAATCAGGTATTCCCTGGATCAACTACCCCTGGTGTTATTACCAGTATCTAGTTATGTTTCGAAATGCAGCCTGCTGTTTTTTATAAGTAATCCACTGATCTGGCAGGAAGTAGTTCTTGAGGGAATCTATTCCACGTTTTCATAGCTCTTACTGTGAAGAAGCTTTTCCATAAATGGAGGTTAATCCCTTTTCCTCCAGACGTAATAAGCGCCCCCTTGTCCTTTTTGTAATGATCTGAAAGTGAATAGCTCTACACCAAGTTCACTATATGGAGCACCTATGTGTTTATACATGGTGATCCTATTCCCCCTTAATTGCCTCTTCTCAAGAAGAGCAGTAATAGTAACACTCAGCCTTGGCCTTAGTCACTGCAGTAATAACCCCATACCGGGAATTGTAGAAGTAATAGTTTTTTTTCATGCATTCCTGAGACCTGAAAAAAATGATTTTGAAGTATCTCCAAGGTAGAGGGGTCGATGTAATCCAGACTTACTGCACTATTGCCCTCATGTGACAGTACAGACTTAAGATCTCAAATTCATTTAATCAATTCTCTTCTAATCCTCAAGTTGTTTTTTAAGGTCATTCAGGGCAATAAAATAGTGACAAAAATCACTAGAATTGTCTAATAATACATTTTACCTAATGACTCCTAAAGTCTACAAGGACACAGTGATAGTCTTAGTTTTGTTTTTCAAGTACATTACTAAACACTTCCAAATGTTATAGAAGTCATTCTTAGAAAGTACTGGACAATAGTCGGCTACAATCCCACATATTTTCAGATCCACTACTAAGAGTTCCACCAGTATAGTCCTGACTCAACATTATCAGGTGTCAGTGACCACAGTAATAACTTCCCTCATTTGTAGTATTGGCAGTGCTGTTCCAAACCATGGCATGGCAATACTGTTAACACCTTCCCTTCCCCCTTAACCCCTCACTGCATTGGTGGTCAGCACTGACCACAGCCACCAATGCAGGGGGGAGAGGTAAGAGCACTGCCACTGACCACCAATGAAAAGGGTGGGAGTTAAAGTGTTTACTAAACCCACAACATTAAAATCAGTCTGAGTATAGCAAGCATGCTTTACTGCATATACACTGGAACCTAAGGGGTTAATCCTCTGCATTGTGTAAAAAGGTCGTTTGATCCTGACTTCTGTACTCCTCTTAATCAAATGTCCATGTTCACTCTGTCTGACAGTACTGGCTTTATTTCAGCACTGGATGCAGGAATGCAGAGAGCGTTCCAGTACTTGGCATCCTGCCTGCTACCACTTTTCAAACTGGCCAACACGCAGTGACAGTCCATGTTGGGCATCAGGGGTCTAAACTGTACAGGCAGCATTTATCTGGTGGAACACTTAGTAACAGATCTGAAAATATGCGGAATTGTTGTTGGTTATTGTCCAGTCCTTTCTAAGAATGATTTCCATAATATTTTGAAGTGTTTAGTAATGTACTTGAAAAAAAAAGAGAGAATATCATTGTTTCCTTGGAGACTTTAAAGTCATATGGTAAATCTATTACCACACGATACTAGCGGGTTTTTGTCACTGTGTCATCACCTTGGATGACCTTCGAAAAACAACTTGAGGATTGGAAAAGCATTGACTAAATCAATTGTGAATTTTGTTTTGTATATTGAAAATCAAAGATTGTAAAAGGTAAGGGGTAATAATGTATCCATTTCCCTAGGAGTGGGCAGATATCTGGGTGCCTCCTTATTAAGGGGTCCCGGATTCCCTCATAATTTTTCCATCTCCACCTTGTGGCATCAGAGTTGGAAGGGATCCTTGTCCCTCAAACACTGGAACAAAGGTGATTTGCAGAAGGTGGGTGCCCCTATCCGCTTACAAGGTGCCCTCACCAATCTAGAAAGGCATGTGGCTTGGTCTGCCACAGGTGGGCATACACTCTGACTCGAATGCCTGCATAAGGGTCTGATGGAATTTTAAGAAGAACCACACATTAATTGTATCTTTTTTTTTTTTCACCATGCAGTCTGCAATGAATCAGACTGGGTTGCTTACATATGTACAGTGGGGAAAATTATTATTTTATCCCTTGCAGATTTTGTAGGTTTGCCCACTTACAAAGAAATCAAGGGTCTAAAATTTTTATCATAGATGTATTATAAATGGAGACAGAATATCAACCAAAAATCCAGAAAAAACACATGATACAAATGTTATAAATTGAGTTGCAGTTCAGTGAGTAAAATAAGTATTTGATCCTCTACCAACCAACAATAATTCTGGCTCCCACAGACTGGCTATGTGCTCATGTGGTACACAGATTAGTTATGTCAATTTTAAGAAGGTGCTCCTAACAACTTGTGGATAAAAGAGAGCTGTCCACAGAATTTCTTTCTTCCATTCAAACCTTGCCACCATGGGCAAATGACCAAAGAGCTGTCAAAGGACATAAGGAACAAAGTTGTAGACCTGCACAAGGTTGGAATGGGCTACAAGACCATCAGCAAGAAGCTTGATGAGAAGGAGACAACTGTTGGAGCAATTGTTCGCAAATGGACGAAATACAAAATAACCATCAATCGCCCTCGGTCTGGAGCTTCATGCAAGATTTTTCCTCATGGGGTAAGGATAATCATGAAAAAAGAACTACATGGGAGGAGCCTGTGAATTATCTCAAGGCAGTTGGGACCACAGTTGCCAAACAAACCACTGGTAACGTAATACGCCGCCACGGATTGAAATCCTTAGGCGCCTAAGTACATGCCACCAGATCTGCACCAGAACACTTCAAACAAATGCAAGGTCCCCTTCCTCAAGAAGGCACATGTACAGGCCCATCTGAAGTTTGCCCATGCACATCTAAATGATTCAGAGAAGGATTGGGAGAAAGTGCTGTGGTGAGATGAGACCAAAATTGAGCTCTTTGGCATTAACTCGACTCGCCGTGTTTGGAGGAAGAAAAATGCTGACTGTGACCCTAAGAACACCATCCCTACAGTCAAGCATGGAGGTGGAAACATTATGCTTTGGGGCTTTTTCTCTGCTAAAGGTACAGGCCGATTTTACCACATTGAGGGACCAATGGACCGGGCCATGTATTGTAAAATCTTGGGTGAGAACCTTCTTCCCTCAGCCAGAACACTGAAGATGGGTTGTGGATTGGTCTTCAAGCATGACAATGACCCAAAAAATACCACCAAGGCAACAAAGGAGTTGCTCAAGAAGAATCTCATTAAGGTCCTGGAGTGGCCTAGCCATCCTATAGAAAAACAATTTAGAGAAGATCTGTAAAAGAGTGGACCAAAATCCCTCTTGAGATCTGTGCAAACCTAGTAATCAACTACAAGAAACGTTTTACCTTTCTGCTTGCCAATAAGGGTTTCTCCACCAAGAACTAAGTCATGTTTTGCTTGGGGTTCAAATGCTTGTTTTACTTACTGAACTGCAACTCAATTTTATAACCTTTTTTGTATCGTGGTTTTTTTTTTCTAGATTTTTGGTTGATATTCTGTCTCTAACATTTAAAATACACTATGATTAAAACTATAGACCCCTAATTTTTTTGTAAGTGGACAAACTTACAAAATCTGCAGCTCAAAAAATTATTTTTCCCACTGTATGCAAAGCTAATTGTAAAAATACAATGCCATAGTCTGTCTGTGAAAATCATATGGTTTTGTAATGAAACGTGCAGATGTAAGGCATCAGTGAAAATTGTACTGTTCTGTAATGTCACATGCAGATTTAAGGTATTTTGTGTTTTTAGAGTTCCTATTTGTCACTTTGAAAAGAAAACCTTTTTTGCAATACTTGTTCCTGTGCCTGACTCCCCATACAATTTATTCTAAAAATAGCTTGACTATTCGTTTTGAAAATGGCCAGATAAAATGCCAAGATTTGCCTCCTATAGAAGTCAGTGAGAATCATTGCTAAGTTCAGGGTTCGCAGGCATTAAGCAGGATTCTATGAACCCAACTTGAACTGAATCCAGGCAGATTTGCTAGTGAGAAGCCATGAAAATTGTGATGGCACTGCCAATTAAAAAGGTATAGCAAATGCTGCTGTCATTGTCTGTGCATCAAAAATGGTTTAAAAATGCTGAGAGCAACATTGCTAATATGCTGACATATGCGGAAGAAAAGTAACAAGAAATCTTGACATATTTTAAAGGCTCAGGCAGCATTACAATGTTTGAGAATGATGATTTATGTATATAAAGAGGAAGTAAATGTACATAAAGAAGGAGCAATTTATACAAATGAGAAATCTCTATGTAGCTCAGTGATCTTTGTATTCATGTGTGCAGACAGGCAGTTAAAGCATGTGTTGCTGCCTATAAATGTGATGGGGAGGTTGTGACCCACAACCCTCATGTTAATAGGACAAAGAAGGTAAAAACAGAGGGCTGGAAGGCACCATGGATGATCACACCAGACAGCAGCCCAATGTGAAAAGGGCACATCATTTTTGGCATGAAGCCACCTGTAAAGCTGTGTCAGTTTTTTCGTTCATCCAGCAGGCTGTATGAAAAAACTGACCCGATTCCCCCATCCACACATTTGAGGTGACTCCCCCACTGTCAGAATTACCTATTGCCTGCAGCCTTGATTGAGCAGTTTTTATCCAACAGAGCAGTTGAAGTTCATTGGTTCAACCACAGTGGCCACCCATGGATCAAAATTCAGCTGATCTCTGCTGAACTGGATGAATTTGGATGCATGTATGGCCAGCTAAAAGTGTCACTAAACCCAGCACCCTGCATTCACTAAATCTGGTCTCCACAGAACATGGAAGTACAATTATTTTAGTAAAATATAAATTGCTAATTACCTTTTCTCATCAGCAGTTAGAGAAGTCTTGTGACTTCTGTCAGTGTCCAGCCGAGCACATGTTAAAGCTTGTAGGAGGAGTTTTCATTCTCCCCTGATTGTCCTAATGAGGATGCATAATCCCTGACCCTCTGTCTGGACAGCACTGATTGACCCTGTGCTGATCATACTCTCCCAAGAAAAAAAAATTGTCTAGCAATAAATACCAAACTGAGCATGTGCAGCTTGCTCCCAAAGCTCTGTTTTATCAGCAGATGGATTGGAGACAGTATAAGATGGGGAGGATCAGAGGAGACAGGATCAAACATTATTTTTACACAATGTGGAAGATTAACCCTTTAGGCTCCACAGTGAGTATAACAAGCATGCTTTACTGCATATACAGACTGATTTTACTGTTGTGGGTTTAGTAACACTTTAAGTCTGCTAATTTTTTCACCTTAAGAGCATCTTGGTGCAGGTCACATTTTCAACTTAAAGTATATGTAAACACTCACCTTGTAAAACAACATTTATTTTAAAATAGAAATGAAAAGCAAAACATTTGTGTATAGATATTAAAAAAAAAAAAAAAACCTTTTCTCGTGCCTAGTATGGTCAGTTTTTAATAGGAAAGCTGAAGGACTGTCAAAAACACAGGGATTTCAAACAAAGGAAGCAATACAAAAGAGGACAGGATAAAATATTTTCATACAAGTACATGGTGCAGCAGGCACATATCAGGAATACTGGATTTACATACTCTTCAAAAGAATGATATATATCATAGATTTGTACTTCTTATTAACCACTTCATGTCCGGACACTTTTACCCCCTTCCTGTCCTGGCCAATTTTCAGCTTTCAGTGCTGTCACACTTTGAATGACAATTGCGCAGTCATGCAACACTGTACCCATATGAATTTTTTAGCATTTTGTTTGAGACCGATAAAGCTTTATTGTGGTGGTATTTATTTGCCACTGGGATTTTTATTTTTTTTGCTATATAAATGAAAGTCCAAAAATTTTGAAAAGTGTTTTTCTTATAAAATTTTACATATCAATCTTTATTCATAAATCTTGGCCAAATTTTTATTCAGTTATCTTTTTTAGTTAAAAAAAAAAAAAAAAAAGATATTAAAATAAAGAAAAAATACCTAGATCAAGGTTTGATCTAGTTCAGTGCTAGGGTTATTGTTTGGGTCAGGGTCAAAAGGTCAGGATTAAAAAAAAATTGGTGTCAATGTCAGTGTGTTTTTAGGTAAAAAAAAAAAGACAAAACCAAAATGCACACTATTGTTTCTGGGCTGTACTACGGGTACAAATAACATACACATATATGGTATCACTGCGATCGTCAAGAGCTGGAGAATTTATTTTGGGTTGTTATTTGGTGGTAGGTTATGGTAGTAACAAGAAACACACAGCTAAATAAAAAAAAAAAATTTTTTTTTTTACTATTTTGGGCCAGTTTTCCTTTTTGATGCTAAAAAAAAAAATCATGAGATGTCCATTACCATTTACCACCAAATGAAAGCCGAATTTGTCCTGAAAAAAACGTGGTATAATAAACCTGGATGTACAAAGTAGTTGTGATGATATGTACGGTTTTACTAACACATGTCAACATTGCAAAATAGTGCTTAGGCATTTAGATTTGGTTTACCCTTAGGCGTGAAGGGGTTAAGGTCAGTAGAATTAACCTAACATCAGAACTTTTTGTCTATCTCTAGGCAAAACCTTTTTTTTGGTTTTGGGTATAGTGGGAGGATTTAGAACCTTTCATTGAGAGATTCACCTTTTTTTTTTTTTTTTTTTTTTTTTTTTTTTTTTTTTTTTTTCACTGATGACCATTGTTACCAAGAAAGAGAAAATGAGGGGAAATACAAAATGTTAGAGTTGCCTCTGGTAAAGAAGGTAAGGGCAAATCTTCCTAAGGGGACAACTGTCTAAGAGTGAAATCTTCCTCACAGTAGATCTCCTTTAATTTCCTGTTACATCTCTGGGACAGGAAATGAAGGGAAATCTCCCCAATATTGCACAATCCACACAAATGAAACTGACAGGAGTTTTAACCCTTCCATCCAAAACTAAAAAAAAAAAGTAGATACACTTGAAAACAAAAGTTTTATCTGATTATATTTTTGCCTTCCCTGGTGCCTCCTTTCCCCTCTCAATATTTTGCAAATAAAATTAATTAAACCATTCTGTTTTCATCACTTGCCTTAACTCCTCCTTTACTGCCGACAGTAGGTATAAAAGCAGCCTCTCAACTGGTGGGCCTCAACACGGAGAGGCCACATATATCCATACCATGATGTAAACACAGCTGTGCCGAGAGTGCACACCTGGTACAATTACTGATGGCTAACGGAAAGTTCCCAATTGCTACTTACTTGGGCAATATTTGTCCACTTCTCTTTGCAGAACTGCTCAACTTCAGTTAAATTTGGTGACCGTTTGTGGACTGCAGTCCTCAAGTAATTCCACAGATTTTCAATAGGGTTTAAGTCTGGGCTCTGCCTAAGCCATGCATGGACATTCGCCTTTTTCTCCTTCGACCATATTTTTGCTTTGCGCTTTGGGTCATTGTCATGTTGGAAGGCAGCACTTCTATGTGTCACTTAAAGCAATACTAAAGGCTTACATTTTTTTCCTGGCCCCTCCCTCCTGTTGGGTGTCCCCAGAGGAAGCAGCTTGGTATGGGGGCACCCGCTGCTCTGTGTTCATTCACACATGGAGCTGCAGCTTGGTCCCACCCCTCTCTTCTCATTGGCTCACTGGCTGAGACAGCAGTGGGAGCCATTGGCTCACACTGCTGTCAATCACAGCCAATAAGGAGACGGTGGCCCGGGATAGCCAAGACTCCAGTGCACATCGCTGGGCTTAGGTGAGTATTAGGGAGGCGGGGGGCTGCTGCACAGAGGGGTTTTTTTTAGCTTTGTCTATAGAATGCATGAAGATAAAAATCCTTGAACCTTTACAAACACGTTCAAAGCATTTATGACCATTCAAAGAGATCACAGTACCCTACCTGATAATACTGTCATCTGCTTTTCTCTCCAGGACGACAGCGCCATCTTTGTTAAAGTACTGTGTCCATAGTCAGCATCTACTTCCTGCATTGAGATGATGGCTCATAACTGACACACTCATGTAAATCCAGGTGCCTATAGAGATCTTGGATGTTTCACAAATGTGTAATGCACATGGGTGTAAAATGTCTGGCATTTTCATACGTCCGGGGAGCTGCAGTGCCATGTGCAGTCACCTACACAAATGAGTGGCTTTATGTGGCCTATTTGTAAATGCCAATAGCTTCTACATTACCATTTACCCACACATGCTTGGGTGACACATTTCCTTGAAAATGCCTCTTTTTTAGTTTAGAGAAATGTGTTCTACACTGATGCAGAAGCCATTGGCGTAGGGAAGCACTAGTCATTTTTTACACTTCAAGACTATGGAGCAAGTAAAGGTCCATGTGTATAAGGCCTAGTATAGATGAGGCCATGTATAAAAGAGCCCTCTGATGCAGCCTTTCACTTTGTGACTTGCTGCAAAGCTACAACTTTGAAGTCTGATCAGTGAGTTCAGGAGACTGAAGAAATGCTTCCTCCTGCCTGCAGACTGATGGCATCATCTCCGCCTATGCAAAGTTATTTTTCTGGATTTTAGGACCAATCATAAAACAGATTTGCTATCGATTAACAAATTATATTGTTGTATATTGCCCCCTTTCGGGAATTTAATTTATGCAGACTCATTAAAACTTTACCCATAACCGTTTGATAATCATTAATGTTCTTTAACAAAAGCGCATACATTCCACACTAATAATCATGCTACCAAAACTAATGTGTGCTGTCAATTGCCTCCAGCATTGCTTCTGTTTTTTTTTTTTTTTTTGCTGGAGGGTGCCATTTTGTTACAGCAAGAGCAGTCACTTATTGAAAACTCTCCCAATCTCCTTGGTTTCAAAACTATATCTGTAATTTAAAATGTGTACATTTCCAGCCTTGATTATATCAAGAAAAACTTTTCTGAAGTATACAGGCTACTGATGAGGGAGAAAGAGGAGAGTATCAGGGAGGTGAGAAAAGACACTCTTTGTAAATTTGACTCTTTGGTGTCTCCCTGGCAGCAGAGTTTGTCCTGTCACCTCTCCTGCTTTTCCTCTTTCTCCCTTATCTGCATTCCCTCAGCACAGTTTGTGTTATTCCTGTTGCTTTCTTCCCCCCAATAGTAGTTGCTAAAGATCTCAGCTGATCGGCCTCTAGTGGCTCTGATTTTAGGCACAGTGCCGAGAATAGAGAGCAATGGATCATGTGCAGAGCAGGGTAACACAGTGGGAACTTGGTTGCAAGATAAAAAGCAGAGTATACTGCCTGTATACATGGTGTGCTGGCGCCGCGCCATGTGGGAACATAGAGATGTCACCTCCCTGGCATGAATAAGCCCAGTCTTCAAAATCCTACACGAGTGTGGATACTGCTTCAACTGCTCATGGAATCCAAGCCAAGACGGCCTCAGTCGTAACTGGCCACGCCCTCTGTGATCAAGCCCCTGGTGGGCAGGGTGAAACGCATCAGGGGAGTGGCCAGATTTACTGCTGAGGCGGTCTTTCCTTAGAATTCCACGAGTGGTTGGAGTAGTGTCCACACTCATGCAGAATTTACTGCCACTTTAAAAATAACAGGTAAGCCTAGTGTAGCTCCCTCCTAGTTAACTAGGATGAGCTAGAATCAAATTGTTAGAGAGGAAGGCTGAGTAGCAGCCTGGGTGCAATAGTCAGAAGGTCAAATTTGGGTCAGAAGCTGAGAGGCTCTGCAAGTCAGCTCCTCTGGAATTTCCCCCTGCTCTAGAGCTTTAAAGAAAAGGCATAGAGGCAGTGGATGGATCTGAGGAGATGCTGACTTGTACTCTTGAGGGATCCTAGCCAATCCCCAACAAGAGGCTTGGCAAGGGGCTAAGACAACCCTTGAAAAGTAAGTTTGCCTGCTTAGCTGCAGGAGAGTTTGGGTGGAAGATAGAAGATGTGAGGCTGAAGGCAGGCAACATGCACCAGATCCCCTGCTCAGGGATACCTCCAGATTGCTGGGTGAAGGAAGAGGATTTCATCTAGGGTCTGGGGTGGTATATTAGGAGATGCTGGCTAGCTCTCCAACAGAGAATGGTGCTACGTGTGGAGGCTTGTAAATAGTTCCCAGAAGTTGTGCTCAGTTAATCAGTTCCCTTGGGCATCCTGTACACTCCTAACATTATCTCAGTGCAAATTCCCTAATAAAAATTACAAAACAAAGCTCAAGGACTGATCTGACTCTGGAAGCAAGCCTGTGTGAAGATGCATATTGTCTGGCTGTGCAGGACTATAGGGGGACCCGAAATCTTTTGCAACTCCTAAGGGGGTAGTGCTACACTAGAATAAGGCTTACCTGTAGATACAGCGAATATTTCCTAAACATGCACCGCTGTATAGCAGCCAGTGACCGCCACTGAGAAAAGTGCTTCTGTCGTGACTCCCCCACGCATGTATAGGAGTGATGTCATCACAGCTTGGCCATTCAAATGGACAGAGCCCGCAAACCCAGAAGGAAGGTGGGTGACAGAGCAACACCAGAGGGATCCGTTTTTTAAGCAAGTCTGTGATGGCAAGAATCTGCAGGGGGACCAGTTTGTTTTTTTTTGTTTTTTTATTTTAACAAGGTTCACTAACACTTTAATGTTTTACATACAGTAGCTATATCTGAAAGGGGCCAGTCTGAAGTGATCTATCAGGACTTAATTTTCTGACTAAAGTTCCACTTTAAGATACTAAATATACCACTTTAAAGTTTTTTTGTTGATTTCTATTTGCTATATTCCTGTTCCTCTTCTCTACTGCATAAATTTTCTTATTTAGTAGTTTCTAGTGTCGTTAGTACTGCAGGAACCATGCTGTAATTGGTTTTCTAGGTCAGACCTACATTTTTGATATTTTTCAGATTGCTTAGAAATCATTATGACGTTAACCCTATTTACAGGATAGGAATTTCACAAACTGTTTCTCAGGGCAATTCATGGTCATGTTTTAGATTTTCTCAAAGTATAGCTAAGAGAATACCTTTTTTTTTTGTTTGGATAGAATGGAGAGGGATTAGAACTAGGGTTGCCACCTCATCCCATTAATCTTGAACACACATTAATTACACAGGTTCTGAGGCTAATTCCACTTCCCTTCCAGCCGTTTATCTACATGGGCCGGACGGGAAGTGGGTAATGCGAATGGGCGTTTCTAAATGCCCCCCCCCCCCCCCCCGCATCCATTGCCTGTGCACGCAACCTGGGAGCACACTTTACCGCGATCAGTGCTCGCTGTGTCCTTCAGACACAGATTGCTGTACGAGACCTCTGTGTGAGGTCCCGATTCATGTGATCACTGATTGGCCAATCAGTGATCACTTGAATAGTAGTAAACAAGATGTCATTCCTGACATTGCTTACTACTTCTGAAATCAGTGAATGATCACAGAAGTCACATGGTACGAGGCTATTCGCAACAGCCTTGTACCATGTGACAAACTGTGACCAATTAGAGCTCTCACAGTATTTCTCAATGGCTGCAGGAATGCAGCCAGACAGAAGGAGAAATTATTGCTTTTACATCTGAGTGTAAAAGCAATCAGTGTAAAAAAAAGAAAAAAAATCTTAGTCACCCCCCACAAGTAATACAGTGTCACTATGGTGACACTGTACTAATGTAAATGGTATAAAGTGAGCGCTCCTGACTAAGCAGCTATGGCACTAAAGGTAATCACAGTATACCCACAAATAACAGATAAAAACAGAGTACAGCGCTGAAAAATAAATGCAAAAGGAAATAGTCCGTAATAATAGAATGGATGTATATATTAGCGAGTCCCAAGGAATAGCTGATAAAGGCCAGGAGACAATGGAAAGAGTGCGCACTCACTGGACGCGCATGGAAAATGCGCATATAATGAATATCCCCTGGAATCCTTATGGAAAATGAAGAGAGTAAGCTCCAACTCTGTGAATCATTTAGCCTGGAGATGTATGAGAGAAGTCCGGAGATCCCCCTTAAGGATGGTATGGTAATCAGCCAGGATCCAAAGCTCCGTCCCTCCGGTGGTAGTAAGCGCACACTACAGGAATCCGGACGCGCATGGAAAATGCGCATATAATGAATATCCCCTGGAATCCTTATGGAATGAAGAGAGTAAGCTCCAACTCTGTGAATCATTCAGCCTGGAGATGTATGAGAGAAGTCCGGAGATCCCCCTTAAATGGTATGGTAATCAGCCAGGATCCAAAGCTCCGTCCCTCCGGTGGTAGTAAGCGCACACTACAGGAATCCTGCAAATTGATTTAGGAACAAAAAACAGTGCCCATAGTGTAGTATTTCCAACCAGTTTAATAGATAAAAATGAAATGTAAAATACAGGGTAGTAAGCTGTGTACAATGAATATATTACAGCAGAGTACGCAGCAATGGTACTGACCCTAAGTTAAAATGGCCGCCGGGCTATCTCGTGGCTCCCGGGCGGGAGATGACGTCATGCTCTGTCGGTTCCTCCTAAGGCCTTTCATGCCCAAGCACATAATCAGAGGGGATACCAACCTTGGTTGGTATACCACGAAAGGCCTTAGAGGGGACAGAGCATGACACTGTACTGCTAGGGTGACCCTATGTTTAAAAAACAAAAAACATAATCTAAAAAAGTAAAATAAAAATGTAAAAAATTTTGAAAAATTTGAATTTTTGGTTATACTAATTTGGGTTATTTTTTTTGTTTTTACTAAAAAGATAGATGAATACATTTTGGCCAAGATTCATGAAGAAAGATTATTTATTTGCAAAATTATATAAGAAAAACACTTTTTTTTTTTTTTTTTTTTTCAAAATTTTGGGATTTTCATTTATATAGCAAAAAAATAAATCCCAGTGGTGAATAAATGCCACCAAAATAGTTATCTGTCTCAAAAATTTATATGGGTACAGTATTGCATGACTGCGCAATTGTCATTCAAAGTGTGATAGCACTGAAAGCTGAAAATTGGCCTGGGCAGGAAGGGGGTAAAAGTGTCCGGACTTGAAATCGTTAATTCAGATGAGGCACTAGGTGAGTTTAATTACAGCCTTAGTCCGCCACAGAACCCGTGTAATTAATATGTGTTCGGTTTTAAAGGGATGAGGGGGCAACCCTAATTAGAACACTTGCCAATTTTTATTGCTGTCTGTGCCCCCATTAGGGAGATTCACCCTATTTGTCCTGTTTACCGTTATCATAAAAACTGACCGTGAAAGAAAATCTAAAATTTTGGGTTGACACCAGAACAGAGGGGAAGTTCTGTGGTGACACTCTGGGATTCCCTCACTTTGGAGGAATTTCCTCTCACCTCCTGTTTCGCTATGGAACAGGAAGTTAAGGGAAATCTCCCCAGTGGGACACAGATGGGGACATTTCACTTTTTGACATGGGTTATAATAACCCTCCCTTTTTTTTTTAATCCCAAATGGAAAAAAATAATTTGCCTTCAGTTACTTTATGCTGGCCATAAGGGGTTATATTCTTTTTTTTTTTTTTTTTTTTTTTTTTTTTTTTTTTTTTTTTCATCAGGGGGGCAGAACAAAAAAAGTCCAATAGATTCTTCCATCCACACTATACAGTGCAGATAGACATATCCTGCTGTGCCATTTGATTCTTATAGCCAGCACCAGCAAATGTCAAAATAGCTGCATCTGATTTTTCATTCAAAGGGTGTTTAGTGGGATGGGGCCAACACATAATGAATTTCAGCTGGTTGATCAGGAACTGGCCAAAGTTTGCACAGTGTATGGCCAGCTTCTCTTTCCAAAGGTAAGTTCTGCGATATGTTTGTCATGTGACTGAATGGACGCAAAGTGCTCAGTTGGTTCCCAATATGGAAGGTTTTGCGAATGAGGTGA